CGCCGATACGAGGAAATGACTCTTTCTTCAGGAATAACGAATCAAATTTTGATTAAGCAAATTGAGAAAGTGTTTGTGATACAATCTTAAGCATCACAGCATATTTTTATGAAGTTCTGGTCCCACAAAGTTGGCTCATATAGCAGACTAGCTGGCTTACCCGGCTCCGCCGTATCCGGACCAAACTTGGCACACATACACTTCGGGCCCCGGCGGGTGTCACAGTCCACTTTTCGTTATCGATCGATGTCGATTTTACCGATTTTTATCGATTTTTTTGCAGAGTTCACCTACAGGGCTAGGAGTTGGCACAGGGGGGAAGTGAGCATGGGGATTCCGAATACAATATTAGTTTTCAGAATTATCGATTACTTTTATTGATTTTATCGATTTTTTGTAAATTTTGACATGCGAGGCTGGGATTTTGCACAGGGGGGTAATCGAGCATGCTGATTACGAACACAATATTAGTTTTCAGGATCGTCCATTACTTTTATCGATTTTATCGATTTTTTTGTAAAGTTTGACCTGCGGGGCTGGGAGTTTGCACAGGGGGTAATCGAGCATGCAGATTACGAATACAATATTAGTTTTCAAGATCGTCCATTACTTTTATCGATTTTATCGATTTTTTGAAAATTTGAGCTAGGGGGCTGGAATTTGGCACAGGGGTGTAATCGAGCATGCTGATCACCCCCCTTGGGAATGATCGGCATGCTCGATTACCCCCCTGTGCCAAATTCCAGCCCCCTAGCTCAAACTTTGCAAAAAAATCGATAAAATCGATAAAAGTAATCGATAATCCCGAAAACCAATATTGTATTCGGAATCCCCATGCTCGATTACCCCCCTGTGCCAACTCCCAGCCTCGTGAGTGAACTCAGCAAAAAAATCGATAAAAATCGATAAAATCGATATCGATCGATGACGAAAAGTAGCCTATGACACCCGCCGGGGCCCGAAGTGTATGTGTGCCAAGTTTGGTCCGGATCGGTTCAGAAATGGAATTTTCTATTCGGAACATACGTACATACATACATACAGACAGACATACAGACAAACAGACATTCAGCTTTATATATAAGATACAGATATATTAGGAGATTTCAAGGTCATTCAACAAATCACTTTTTTGAATCCATACTTCCGTGGTACAAATCAATTACCAGAAATGCTGTTACTGAAGAAACAAAAAAGATAGTAAGTGATGACATTAGGCATGCCCTGTATTTAGGATTTCATGCGTTCATGATTGTTATGAGCATCATGGACAAAAATTTTTTAATGCGTTTTGAACGCCCTTCGAATTGATCTACGGAAGCATAACAGAAATTTAGATAATAAGTAAACGAAAGCGTAGGCCTAGCTAATCGCGTTTGTCGGACTCTTTCTTTTCTCCACAACTTTCGTAAATGTAAATAAGCCTCGGGCACACTTCATACGATTTTCGCGACTCGCGACGCGATCTGGCAAGTGCCATATGTCTTCAAATGATGACGAGATTAAGAAAGGTTGTCTCAAAATAAACATTTTACAGCACAAATAAGGTTACAGACAATTCGATGGGAAATTTCGCGGAAATTGGGAAATCTCGGCCGGGTCGCCTGCAGAAGTTCCGCAAAGGTGCTGCGGAAGTTGCGGAAGCATTCGCAGCGGAAACAGCAAAAGAGGACACATCGTGATCCGCACATTGCTCCTGCGACTGCGAGACTCCACTTTCCTCTGCACTACGGATGACATGCTCGAAAATGCACTCTGGTTGTTGGCCTTTCCGTACAACACATTCAAAACCTGCGGAAGTCCTGGCATATCAAGCTGCGAAATCGCTGGCATTTTTTGAAATTTTCGCAGCTTTTTGTAAGGAGTCGCGGGGAGTTCCGTTCTCAACAAGTTTAATGTGAACATCCTGTAAAAGTACCCATTTTCAATGTTTCTTTTGCATTAGTAAACGTATCCATTTTCAGCGTTTCCACTTTTGCCTTAATATACGAATCCTGCGAAACTCGCTGCAAATTTTGCTCTCTGCGGAATTTCCGTTGTGTCTGAGTACGCACGGTTGCTACGATAAGTCTGTCTTGGCTTCCGAAGAAGATATCATTCGTCCAATTTGTATTAGCAATAAGTACCACTGACAGATTTATTGTTAAGTTTTCAGCTCATTTGATAGTTTTCATAATATAACAGTTGCGCAGACGTTTAACGAATCCTACAGTAATCTTACAGTAAATCAGTAAATCATCATATCTTTCACATTTGACAATCAGTCAGTTGAAGCTAGCTTTCGAAAATTAGTCTGGAAACCATGAATGACAAAGACGGAATTAAGTTAAGCCATGAAGGGAAATAATTGCAAATTTTTTTGAGAAATCATTCTATTCATTGGATCTAGTCCAGATATTTCAGTTTACTTAAGAGAAGTTGGTAAGATTTCTCGAAAAAGCCAACAGTGGCAATTCTTCTTCAGTTAGAATGATAGTCAACGCTTGATAACTCCATGCTAGTTACTGGAGATACGCATAAGCATAAAGCCCTGGCATAAGTGGCTTACATTTTGCAGGCTTTGCAAGAGAAACAAGCCAAGAAGAAGGATAGCTGAAGTAAAGCATCCCGTATAATTCTCTCTAATTCGACGGCCACAAGAACAACATGGAATCTTGCACTGATGTAGAAAGAGCCGTCAAGCAACTTGTCTTACTTTCCCGGAAGACAGCAGGACAAGCCCTATTATGTTTCGTGCAGACGCCCATTAAGTGCTTAACCATTTAGTTCTTGAGACAGATCACTGTCGCTCCCATTATCAAACTTGTGTCCATCAAATTCAAGCAAGCATCAGTCACTAAAAGAGTCAGCCATGGGAAGTGCTTCCCGAAGGGATCGTCCTGCATGTCGAGATTTTGGGATTACCTACATAATCATGTAGTGGGAGGCCAGGTTTATCTAGGTATGCTAGAAGATAACATGAGACTTTGGTCACGAAAAAGCACAACAAAAATTGCTCCTTAAAAAAATAATCAATCTCGAAAATTAAAGCAAGTGTTCTTGCCATACCTCGGATTCAGCTCAGACTTATCTTGAAGGCGCAAAACCTGTGCCTTCACTAAAGGCATACCATATCTATATCAATACCACAACAACTTAGCAAAACCTCTTCCTTCACCAAAATCGGGGTTCCCAATCCCTGCAGTGGATGTCCCCAACTGCTTTAAACGACGTTAGCAACAGCAAAGAGTTACGCAGAAAAACCCGTACCTAATATTTTGAGTTTTTTCCCTATGATTTTCAAAACTGAGTTGTATACATTCTAAAGCAAATCCAGTTCTGGAGGTAAGAGAAGGGAGAGGTGGAATTATGTAAGCGTGAGGGGAGGAACTTTTTTGTGTCACACTTCACGCTCGACCCTATAAGGACTGTTGAAGCCTCCAAAATGAAATTTTGACATTCTTTGATCCGCATCAGGAGCTAGACTAAAACTGAACCGTGATCATCACCATCACTTAAAACATACATTAATCAAAATATGGACACTCTTTATAGTATAAAAAGTGAAGTCATCACAGTACATACCCGCAAAAGGAAAAGGACAGGCCGACATCATTGCTCATAACTCGACCTCATATAATAAACTAAAATAAATACAGGGTTGGGGGAAAGTCTTTGAACAATTTTTGATGTCATTGTATGTTCTGATTTTCCACATATTCTTGCATACTAATTATATGTATTTACTTCTTATACCCTTAGTTACAAGTCCTCCAAAAACTGGAGTACTAGCTTTATTCCTGTCGAAGATATGCCTTCTGGAACGGAGCGAGCGTTGGTGGCGAAGATGCATGAAGAGAAGATGGCTAACCAGCAGATTGCGCGGGTTCTTCAAACTTTACAAATCAGCGTCTTTTCCACCTTCCGTCGTTTCCAGGATATGAACAGCACCCAGAACTGCTGTACGAGTAATAAATTGGCTAATGCGGACACTCACAAAATTCTGAAGATCGTTCGCCAGCGCCATAGTCGCAATCCTCGGAGAAGCTTGACTGAGCTGGGTTCAAAGCTGTTCATCTCTGGTAGAAAAGTCTCCGACATCGTGAAACAAGGCCTTGGGATGAAGCTTTTCAAGATACTTATAATTCATGCTTTTTGGGAAGAAACGAAGCTGATTTGACTGCGCGGATGCCATCGAATGCCTGAACGCCTATCCAAGGCACGCCACCAAACATACAATTTTCTGAAGTCAAAATTTTCACCGTGAAGCAGGTTTCTGATCGCCAAAACAACAGAGTCATCACCTAAACGCCTCAGGAAGCCAGTAGCGAGGATTGATTGCAGAAGGAAAACTTCATCCGGTTTTTGTGACAATTTGCGCGACGATCGCTTCCGGCAGCAAAATGCCGCTAATTTTTGAGGTCTCAGTGCTCAAGGTGGACATTGCCACGCATGTGAATAGCATCCTGAAGAAGGAATTGTTGACCTGGACCAATATGCATTTGCTGGGAGCGATTGGTGCTCACAGCAGGATGGCGCACCTGCGCAACGAGTGAAGTTTGTTTAAGCATGGCTCCAAAGCAACGTTAAGGACTTCACTACTCCTGTGGAATGGCCTCCGTATTGACCGGATCTGAATACCCTTGATTACCGCAAGTGGTCAGTTCTTTAGGCCGAAGCCTGCGCTCACTCACGCAAGACTGTGGAGTCTCTGCGACGTGCTCTTCAGGATGCGTGGGAGGAAGTGGACGTGAAGCACCTCCGTGCCACCATGGACAGCGTTCTCAAGCGATTCCGTGCTTGTATTCGCGGCAGAGAAGGAATCTTCCAGTTGTAAAGACAATTTTATGTAGCAGACAGTTGAGTAAACATTATTAATTGATTTCATGTAATCACCTTGCCTAGCTTCGTCATTACGATAAAAATACCGTGTTCAAAGACTTTCCCCCAACCCTGTAAAAAAAGAATTCCGGAAGTTTCCAGACACTTTGCAAAGCAGAAAAAAGAGAAAACAAAAAGTCAAATTATGTAGACCATATAAGAAGCAGTTACCACTATTTAACTTCAATTACGTTCGCTGTGCGATGTGGATATTGAATTTCACAGCAGGAAGGGTTTCTACAGTTGCTGTCACTTCGGCATTCACATTAAGATTCGCCAAAGCGCCTCTGACTGCTCCACACGGAAATGCGACTAGAGCTCCAGCATCACGGACAAACTGCTGTCCCTCAGCTAATGGTCGCAATGTACAGAATTTGTTGTCTTGCACAACGTAGACTCCCTAAAATCGAATCTTGGATGGATAGAGATGAGGAAACCACAAAAATGCAGAATAGCTGGCTAAAATCTTCACATACCTGGTGATTCGTCCTTAGATTGTCCACTTGCTTACCAAACACTGATGACCAAAACTCTTTGCAAATAAATTTGACGATCTGAAACAATGATATTCCAAATTTTCAATCGGTAATGACCCAAAACTAAACAACTATTCTCGGTTCACTCTGAAACGACTCCTGCTTGAATAAACGGTGGTCAACTTGACACTCACAAAAAAGTAGCGATAGAGGGTTTTTATGATTACGTCTGGAGTCCATACAATAGCAGTCTGAGCACAAACCGATATTTCACAAATTCTTCCTATACGATTTGGATATTTCAACAAATTTTAGAGTTTAGCCAAACTACCCATGTTAGCTGTTAACGCTATCACTGCTGTTAAACCGGCAATGAATGATCGAAGAATCAACGTTGCTATACACGTGTTCCGCTTTGAGAAAGAACGATTGACAGTGCAAAACCATCTTCTCACTCGCGATCCCACCGATTACTGAGTATGGCGTCTTTTATAAAAAAGAGAGTAAAAAGGCGAACTAAGTCACAAACCAACAGGATCGCGAATATAAAATGAGACCGCAAACTGCTCCTCTACAACAAAAACACCGGTAACATAACGACATCAACAACGGTTCTAAAGAAAATGATTAACGTAACAGCAGTAGTAGCGCTAATAAAGTTGCCAGCGGTAAGGGGTAACAACGGTAGCATAGCAAGTATGCTGAAGTAATGCCAAATTTTTACCGTAAAGCTATGAATTTTACCCCGTATCCTATATGAGATAGGATATAGACGGAAGTGTGATCGCTACTATCAAAACTAATCGTTTTCTCCCTCGGCCATACTTTCACCGCATTTAGCTAAATTACCATTGTCTCACCAAAGTAACCAGTGTTTCCACTGTTACCGTTATTCATTGCTATTCTCGTTTCTTCTCAACAGTGCTTCAATTGAGTCGCTGGTTAAGGCTGCAAAGCCTTCTTTTAGCGGAGCACCGGTAACAGCGGTTACAATGAACAATTACAGTGCTAACAGTGGAAACAGAGGTATAGGCAGTCCGCGCTGCGCGCGGAGAGCAACGCTGTTGCGTCCAGTGAAGATAGTTGAGCGCAGAGAAATACAGGCGGCGAGAGTGCACGGGGAAAGAGGAATGACGCGCAATACACACCTTGCGCACTCTCCGCGCTCTGCGCGGACGGCCTATAATAGCGATAATGTATAGTCATACCCTATGACCCACCAAGAAACTGGCACTGGACAAGGAATGCGAAAAGTTCAACAAAATAACTTCAATTTAGAAAAGAGCGAAAATCAAAAAGTGATTTCTCAAAGATAAACTAACATCTAATTCATTAAGCAGCTTCGGAGCTTCTTTCGATACTCTTTCAGCCATTACGTACCCGACTCGATAGCCCATTGATTCCAACTGGGTGATATATGAATTCTGAAACAAATGCATCCACTAGCAAAGCAGGTATGATTAAGGTAAATTAGACATACGTGAGCGAAGGCCAACTGAACCAGCGCGTCATATTTGTCGAGTTCAGCCATATCAACGCATGTATCCATAACCTATATAAACTTCATAAGGGCTGGTTAGAATGCGACAGAAAAAGTGTAAATCTGCTCAGAAACGTTGTGCTGAAGCAGAGGTAAAAATACTCCAAACAAATAAGATAAAATAATACATCAAAGAATACAGTCTTTCAAAAGAATCTGTCGCTATCTAGTAATGTAATCAAACACTCATTTTGGAAATCACAATGCTAACAACGAAATAAGCATGTTATTTTGGAAAAAATGAAGAGAAGAGAGAAAAAACAGAAAAACTAAAGCTACCTGTTTCCATTCCTGTTTGGCGGCATTGCGTCGTTCCTCGCTTTCCTTCGCGTAGTTGATGATTTCAGCATGAAGAAGGTCAAAGGGGAAAGATGCTTGCGTCATTCTCGAGTTGAAATATGCCGACAGCACCAGAATTAACTGGCTTGCTAAAAGAGACGCGAATGAACAGAAGGCTGCAACTTGCAGGCGTCTGACCGCGTTGCTGCGCTTTGTCCACCATGGAGCGCATTATCTCTTAGAAAGGAGGAGCCGAGCGTGAACTTGGGCTCAAACTCTTGCTCCTCATTTCTAAAGAAAACATTCAGAAACAAAGCATGAGTTCCAACATAAAAAAGGAGGAAAGCTTTCGTATCCCTTCTCTATCTGAATTGTGGCTTTCGCTTGTCCGGCTTTGTTGTGAATTTTTGGCAAAAAATGAAATTGTAAGTGGTTTCTTTTCCACAGCAATCGTGTACATGAGAAACGATTATCGTAAAAAAAACTTGAATTTCCACAAAGTATTGATAATTTCCAAGACCAATAATGCTATTCAAAGTAAAAAACCGGAGTACCTACTGTGATAAAAATTGACCATCTGGCTTTTTTCCTAAACGATCTCAATTAGAAGGTTTTTTAAGGAAAAATCGTACTCGACGAAAATAGTTGCTCAATTTTCGGAGGCTTGATCGCTCTAACTCAAAAATCGAAACACCGAATTGTTGCATGTTTAGGACTGGCTAGAAACGGATTAAATTCTTAATTTGTACTATTATAAAAAAATGAAATGAGTAATCGGTACTAGCCACTTCAACCCACCACTTTACACTCTCCCGGAGTTGGATCACCTGAAAAAATGTTCACGTCGGATGTTTTGAGATAAAATTTCTCATGATCTTCAAAAAGTTCATGTTTTTATCTGCTTCGAAGTGCTCTTATTCGTATGAATTCTCATTCACACGAATACCTTTGATTCGACTGGCTTGGAGGCTGAAAGGCTGGGCTTCGTGACCTAAATTTTAAGCTTGAATCAAAATATCAACAATGTTGCCTCACAAACATTGTCGAGTTGAAGCTGCCGCAGGTGCTACAAGAAACGTCCCTTCTTCTTAGTTATTCACTGGACAGAACAAAGTTTTGAGAATTTAGCCGCTCATTCACTAGTTGTGAAGTATAGAGGAGCCTAGGAAGAATTTTTTCTCACCCTCATTATTCCACTTTTCATCCAAAAACATAAGAGCGTTTTGATGTACGCTGTAATCCAGGATGAGCGCGTTTAGAGGTCGGAGCAATGGGCAGGGCTGCCCTTTGGTCCTGTGAAGGTGTGGTGCTCCTATATTTCGACTATCTCACTGCAAGAGTTTCTGGTTTTGGTTTTTTTTCTGAGGCAAAATATGGCTTTTGACGGTTGAAATTCTTCTTGAAGCCTTTACCGTAATTTTACAGTAATGAAGAGCGCTTGTCGAATCGCTCTACACTGTAAATCTAAGCTGAATTTAGCTCCACAGAATGGTTCCTCAAGCTCGGCGGAAGACATGAAAGCAAAGGAGTTATTACAATCAAAGAGTGCACATCTTTTTGAGATACAGAGTATATGATCTTCATCAATTTTACTATCCAAATTAGTCATATATGAAAGTTACTGTAGGAATCTACAGACATGCTCCAGCGTCTAGTGAATTGCTGAATCACTGGTTATACATTCTATCGCTGTAATTTTATTGAAAAATAATCAAGTGACATTATGATTTAGAATATATATGCCTCTATGCTCTTTGTCCAAACTTGTGGACAGATCGGGTTATTGTTTCGATCTCAAAGACAAACAGCGACGCAAATGTTTACCATAGATCTCAATATGGTCATATGCATATGCTGCACTTTTGCACACTATGCTCTGTATTGCGCTGCTATACCTATTTCTCACCAATTCGGCGTTTGCGCTTATTGGAGGCGGCTATGAACAGTTGGTCTGTTTTCTTTATGAGTTTGATTTATACTAGCATTTTCGTGCTCATATCTGCCTGCGAGTTTGCATCTCGAAGGGCACAACCTCACAAATGATCCTTATAATAGGCACTTCCCAGCCAATTTACGGGGACTTCCCGAGGATTGACGTCAAAGTTCTTGGGAAGCTCTCGTTTTCACGACTCCATCCATCTAAGTGCTGAATGAACCCTCGGGAAGTTTGGCAAATTAGCTTACCCCTCGAGGAGTTCCCGTGGATTGTCTGAGTTTATTTGGAGCTATCGCAGCTTCACCTTTTCTTCTTAGTGGATTTCAGAGTAATCAGTCAAATTCTGTGTTTCATTATTTCTACACATCGTGAATAACACTGTTGATGAACGGTGTACAGGCTTTCTCAGTATGAGTGTCAAAGTCCCAGCGGCTCGGGTACCGCTTTGTTCAAAGTCCGCCTTAGGCGTAGGAAAATGCCATAAGGATACGTCCGCGGACGCAGCGCAGAACCTGAGCGAGGCGGCCGCGACGTTCCGAAAAACGAGCTCTTTTGGCAAGTGCATCGTATCTCTTTCCCAACCACACCCTCAGAATTTTATTTTCAAACCTGTATCTCTGTAAAAGACCTCTTGCACCGATGACATAGACCAACTAATACTGTTAAGTTCTTACCACCTTCAGGAACAGGTGTCTCATTAGACAGTTCAAAGTCTTTCGCCATATATGTATAGGCTGATGCATGACGAAGGCGCAAAAGCAGTATTAGCTGAGCGGGCGCGAACGCGCGCGTATCTTCACCGTTGTAAATCCTGCGCCGCATGCGCTCTGCGGCTAATGGAGCCGCATTTGCGCGCAAAGATATTGCGCTTTCGTTAGCAGCCTATACTAAGTCATACCAGGGTAAGACCATGTTTTCGATAATTTCAGACAAACGTCGTCCTACGATTCACGCCATTTGATCCATCGTATCTGTTTCCGTACTTGGCAAGACGACTATCCTTTCGACGACTTAAGGATCCCATCATCAAGAAATTGGAATCAGCACCGTTGATAAAATATTAATTTTTATGGATGATTAAAATATTTTTCCATCATTGCTCTTGTGTTGTTCGTCTTATGGACTATTTATATCAGTCAGGATTGAAATAAGGGTATGCAAGCACTCAGTACCCAAACTCCATAGGTATTGTATATATGTCATCGAAAATCCGTGTTATTCAAACACAGGATTGTCCCAAATGTTCTCACTTTTTTCTCTTCTTTTTCATCACTTCTTATTGAAAGACTAAGGTAGAAATTTCCAGGTGCGCCATTGTGAATTAGCTCCGTAAAAAATTCTAGAAGGATTTGAACTTTCAACATGCTGTAAAAATTCTTAAAGTTTTTTGAAAACGTCAAAAACACTTGTTGCGGTATGCCTGGTATAACCGTGATAGTAAATTGGGAATATCTTATTCAGATAGCGACTCTGATAGCCAAGTGTTCAAAATTTTGAATTTTTGATCTTTTTTCGAGGCAAAATTCGAAGGCATCAAACCTCCTTCGTAGTTCCTACTATAGTTGCAACGGATGGAAATTTTCATTGAATGAATATCGAATAATTATTTATTTTGAATGAACGAGTATCATTTTTGCGATTATCATATTATTCAAACTCGAATATTTAAATATGGACACATTCCAAAATTCGAAATTGAATATTTAAATAACCGAACTTGATGAATTATTCGAACATCCGAATAAGCGAATAACTGAATATCATCGAATATTTGAATGCAATACTCGAATGTTCGAGTACTCGAACAACCGCTTCTCGAATATTCGAATAAGTCATTTTTCCGAGTCGTCGAATGAACGAATTATTCGAAGAACAAGTGAATAATCGAATAACTGGACTTTCTCGAATAGTCGATTCTTCGAATATTCAAATAGTCGAATAATTCAAATACATTATTCAAATACGAATGTTTGGTTCCACCTATAATTGCTGCATACGGGAAGAACCCACATTCTCGAAGACAACCGCTTTGTTCTTTAATTCATTAATCAGCAGATCAAAGGATTATAAGGATTATTCATTTGACCTCAGTTGTAGATAAAAAATCTGCGTTGACAGCTTCTTGATAAAGCAAAAGTAGCTTTTTGCAGTTCAAGTACGCAAAGATACTTTTTGCCATTAAGAAGTAAAGCTGTCAGAGGAAATGTCAATTCGCACATCGCAGTGGTCTAAAGAGTTTTTGTAGGACTAATGTAATACTGTGCGTCGGTATCCAAGGAGAATAGGACTAAAAAAACAAATTTTCTCCTAAAAAAAGGTTGTCAAGGCAACCTTAGTTCTTACTTTCACAAAGTAAAATCACTGGATTCATTTTTACTAGCGACTTAGGTCGTGCATGGCTTAAAACCTGCGCTTGCTCTAAATTGCAACTGATATGTATTATGTTGGATAGTTCTGCCGCATTTTTTGACTTTTTCTTTATTTGATGTGCTGTGATTGGCACCGTCCACCCGAATTCTCGATTTTGTGTTTCTGACCCCCTTGCGCACGCTGGTTTCGAATCCAAGCCTAAAATTGAACAAAAGTTCCAAATTTGTGTTTTGATTGACCTTCAGAATTGGCAGAATTCATCGTAGATGAGAATTTGCTTGCCGGTCATCCTCTGGCCAGCTGGCAGCCGCAGGGCAGGGATAAGGTAGAATCTCCCATACTGGCACGCAAACCACTTCTCTTCTGCCGTTACGTGGGTGACTGCTGTATAGTATGCTCCACCCAAGAAGAGCTTCTCTGTCTTAACATACTCAGCAGTCTCGTCACATCAAAATGACACGGATGAAGCCTAGTGACAATTAGCTGCCGTCCTTTGATGTCGGGATGCAGCTGTCAGAGAATATTGGAGAACTCGATGATATCGAAAGCCCAGCAGCAAGAACATCCCGATACATCGTTTTTCAGCTCATCCCAACAAGTTAAAAAATCGGACATTGAAAATATGTTTAGAGCAGTTGTGAATGTCTCCTCTGACATGCAGCAGAAGGCTTATTCTATGGCGCTAGCTGACCGCATAACTCGATCCAACGGTTATAGGCCCTATAGGCACACTTACGCAAAACATGGCCGAGTTTGAGACAATGTGGTTATATAAACCGATGGAAAGATCCCTTTCTGCTTGTTGTATATGCATATCTGAGGAGTTGAGCACGGTCAGATTAATATTAGGTGGGTGCAAAAGTTTTGTCAGTTTTTTCAACCCATTCGCAAACACGTTAGAACGAAGATAAACGAACGCTTCAAAATATATCCGATGCAGAATTTCTTCCTCTTTCCAGCTGCCAAAATCTCATTGTGTTTCGTTGAGAGTGTGATGAGATATCTACTGAAAATTGCAACCACTCGTTTTTACCATGCCCAACTTCACTAATTTTCAAAATTTTTGTATGAGACTTTTGGAGGAGCCCTAATGACCAGCAGACAGGGCAAATCTTTTGCCAACAGAAGAAATGTTTTGTAGCCCTACGGCTTGTCTTTCGGAATTTCTACGATTTTTTTTCTGAAGTGACCAAATTCTACATTCAGCCTATTTTAACCTCGCAGAACATGAAATGTTAAACACTTTAGTCACCATTCGATGCAACTTTTTCTCCTCCTTCTAAAACTTGTCTTTTTTCGCCAAGACAGGCGAAATTTATGGAACAAATCGCAGTATTTCTCAATTTCAGGAGTGCGCACTGACGTAGCTTATGTTTCAAAATCTTCATAATTTGAAGCGAAAATAGGCATTTACTTTGTAATGGTCGCGGTAGTAATAATCGGTGTTGAAACCTCAGTATTCTATAGGTTTTGCAGTGTTTGGTGCAACAACAGGTTATGCGATTTTTCCAAAACTCAACACTTTGAGAAAATTATTTAACAAAAATCTGAAAAAGCAGCTAAAAGAAAGAAAAAAACTGCACTAGTTGGCAAAAGATTTGCCCTATCTGGTTGTTATTAGGGCTCCTCCAAAAGTCTCATACAAAAATTTTGAAAATTAGTGAAATTTGGACATGGTAAAAACGAATGGTTGCAATTTCCAGCAAATATCTCATCATTCTCGCAACGAAACACAATAAGAGTTTGGCTCCTAGAAAGAGGAAGAAATTCTGCATCGGATACATTTTGAAATATTTCTTTATCTTCATTCTAGCGTGTTTGACGATGGATTGAAAAAACTGACAAAATTTTTGCACCAACCTAATACTATTAGGTTGGCACGAAAGTTCTTGCGTAATTCAAACAAAATTCAATGACTTTTCAAAGACTAAACCTAAATTCACAATCTTGTATGCTAAAAATATCAGAAGTCTTACGCTTCATGATGGATGTTCAAGCGTAAGATTCCATGAGCTGGACATCAAGAACGAAGCTCTCGAATATGGCGCATCAAATTTTGCGATTTTGAGTTTGGTGCCAGAAAATCGCAGAGTGCCGCTAGCTAGCCGAAAAAAATCTGTAGAATTTACTTGCACAGCTAAAGTCCATACGTTGTTTTAGCAGGCTTTGATCTCGCATGGAAACGCGAAAATAAAAAATTTGCGAAAATTCTCATTTCACAGGACAAATCCCCTTATCGCTCTAACTTTTCCACAGAAACACAGCTTGCAACTAGAAATTAGACATAGTGCCTATTTAGAGCCTTGTGACGTTTTCTCGATTGTAAAAAAGTGTTTCGCCGGAAAACTGCGGACATGAGGGGATTTTTTCCGCAACATGACTTATTTCACGAATTTTTTGTTTTTGCTTCACCGTGCAAGATCAAAGCCTTCCAAAGTAACATATGGACTTTTGTTGTGTAAGTAAATTCTACAGATTTTTTTTGGCTAGCTAGCGGCACTCTGCGATTTTCTGGCACCAAACTCAAAATCGCAAAATTTGAAGCGCCATATTCGAGAGCTTCGTTCTTGATGTCCAGCTCACGGAATCTTACGCTTGAACATCCATCATGAAGCGTAAGACTTCTGATATTTTTAGCATACAAGATTGTGAATTTAGGTTTAGTCTTTGAAAAGTTATTGAATTTTGTTTGAATTACTCAAGAACTTTCGTGCCAACCTAATATATTGGATTTTCGGGGTTGGACAAGGGTAATTGACATACCCTACGAACATCATACATCAGTAGTACGAAATAGAGCATACGAAAGGCTTTGCATGATTCCAGGATGCATTTTATGCCCACAGGCATATAACGGATTCTGGAATAGTAGGAAAGACGGTGAATGCATGGTTGCAGAGGTAGTGTACCTTATCACCTGCTATAGAAGTTTCGAATAATCCACAGATTCAGATAACACTTGCAATGGCTAAAAATCACAACCAAAACTGCGTCAACACTCCTTTTTTACACAAATTTTTTTGTAAGACTAGAATATTTCGAAACAGAATCAGGCAAAATGTTGACTTTTTGTATTCTGGAGTCTACAGCTTTTCTATTCTTTGGCAATTGACTCATCGTTATGTCCACACAGCAAAATCACCGTTATCGCGACATCGTTTCTGTTAAGACTGAGTTTGCAAAGTGTTCAGTCTCATTTAACTTGGAAGAACGACTGATGTTGATTTATACTCGAGACTTGCATAATCACCCAACTTTACTCTTAAAAAGTTTCAGTTCTATCAATGATGCTCAATGCTAGTATTTTGTAACATTTATACCCGTCTATCCATTTCATACTCGCTTTCAGGCACGTTTTACGAACGAAAATTCTTACTTCAGTTCCTAAAATGGTAGTCGACGTAAGGTGGGTCGGAAAAACTATGTCTGATTTTGAGCATGTGCAACATTCCAGCTCATTTTTGACGGCCGAAACCGATTTTGGACTCGACATGCTTCGTCAGAAATCGCCCGATGAGTGTATTGTGGTGTCCCCATTGTCTGTGATATTTGCATTGAATCTGTTGCAACCAGGAGCTAAAGGAATTACCAAGAGTCAGATAACTGACGCAATATCTAAAGGTTTTTCTTTCGACAGGAATGCACAAATCGTTCAGAGTCAGAGCTTGCAGGATCGTCTGACGACGAAACGCTTGAGTATTACTCCGAGCTTATGCGCCAGATTTTGGACTCAACGAGCAATGCGCAAATTAGGATCGCTAATGGATTCTTTTTCAGGTGAATGTTCTATTTTTCAGTCATTTTTGTTGAGAACGCGACAGAAATCGTATCGACCAGAGTACAAAACATTAGAGAGTTGTCTTGTGTAAGCGAATACCACAGAATGCCGACCTACTCCAGCTAGATTCTTTAGACATGAACAAGAATATAATGAGTTGAGGCAAAGATTTTGCTCACAATTCTAGCATCAAATCAAGGAATGCACGCTATGTGCAGGCAAGCCAAGATACTGGAAGCAGTCGAAGGAAGACATCAAGGAGTGCCGAAGGGACCTTGAATACCACGTACCGCTAAAGCACTATTAAACAAAGAATGGGCATCGACCTCTTCCCGGCAAAGAGATCTATTGCGAAAAACTTTTACACCAATCTCTTCCGCTCATCAACAAGTGTGCCGACGCCCCTTGTTCCCTACTGGGAAACTATCACCACGAATTCCACATGCTGAAGTGCGCAGTGTAGACCACGAAGGCATTTATAACTCCAGAACAGAACAAGCCACAACATTCTCCATCGAACTTCTGGAGCCGGAGGACAACGTTACACAAGCTTCTCGCGACGCACCTAACATCAAGAGGAATCTGGAAACTACCGTCTAATATGCCTGCTGGGTGTGCTGTAAAGCTTCTCACAAAAATCATCTTCGTTCGTGTATCAAGGACCTCGAGGAAGCTCAGCCCCAAGAACATCTCGGGTTTCGCAGATCAGCTGCACGGACCACACCCGATGGTTTCGACGTTCATAGAAGTCTATTGAGTATCGCTAAAGTAGACATACATCGAAAGGGTTGTTTCATACTGCCGCACTGACTGCAGCAGACTGCAACAGACTGCAGCTGACTGCACTGACTGCAGCAGGCTGAAGCAGACTGCAGCAGACTGCAGCTGACCGCATTGACCGCAACGACCGCAGCGGCTGTAGCATGCAGGCGGAGAGGATAAATAGTTGTGGCTTAATAAAAAACAACAACAATATATACGTAAAAGCAAAAGACAACGTTTAGAATGTTACAAAACAGGTATATGCAATGATAGGAGGAATTAGAACAAATACGAACATACCAAAGAAAACTATCGCCAAAATTTGATTGAGAAGAATTCTGATGGAACTTATAACTTCTTATGCGTTAATTACACTATTTTGGTAATCGCGGTTGTTTTCTTTTAAGAAAAGAGGCTGCAACCGGTGCGGTCAGTGCAGTCTGCTGCAGTCAGTGCAGTCAGCTGCAGTCTGCTGCAGTTTGCAGCAGTCAGTGCGGCAGTCTGAAACAACGCAAAGCAACAGGCACGTAGTTTGCAGTAGTGGAACATAGTAGAAAATAGTTGAAACAGTTACCCGACACGATCTTTCCATTTCAACAACTAAACTGTGTGAGACTGCGCAACTTTTTATTCAACAAAAAATTAAAAAGGAGAAATTCCATCCTTGGTGCAAAATAATGTCCGCCTTTTTAGGCTTTTTAAGGCAATGGCTTGTACTAAACCGCTATTCATCTCAGTTGACCTGTGAGTCATTCAGAAGAACTTTCTTGGGTGAACCTAATCCCGCCTATCTTCCCGTGCTTTAAAATAGTTAAACAGTCAGGAGCACTGTCCGTTCATGTGTCACAGTCAGTTTATCAAAACGCCACTTAGCCGAGGATGAATTATAGCGTGACCAGAGGGAGATAGTGTGCAAAAGAGGAAAGTCAGATAAATTTCCCGTAGGTTGCTCGTAACTTACGGGACAATTTAGATGACGTAATCTGACCACCGTAACTCCCCAGATGCCGCACTGAGGCGCTCTACGTTCAACGTAGGCCACCTCAACCGACTTGCGCTAAACAGGGGTTTACTGCGGGCCAATATTTTCCCATTAAACCTATTTGAAAGGAGTTTTAACTGTAATATAGGATTCTTATAAAAGAGGCTTTTCTATGGCTTAATGCTACCTCACGCGACTTCCGTCGCTGCGCGATTCTGCACAGAAGTGACTGTTCGTAATGCCTTTATCTCCCTTTGTTTGAACAGGACTTGCTATGCTTGCAAGAATTTACAAAAGCTACGCACTTATGAATTTGGAAACCGCCCACGATGAATTTGTGAAATTCAAGAAGCCAAATAGCGTGAACGTCGCGATTTTGTCAAGTCGCGTCAGGAAGGGCTAAGGCATCGGTCATACTTCGCGCGAATTCAAAATGTAATCGACAAAGCCAGAACGCGTGGCGACCACTATCCATAAGAATTGCTCAAAGTAGGGCCTATGGCGTTGTTTTCTTCCCGTTTGCTTTACTAGTACACGCGAGTATAGGAAATATATAAATGAAAATAAATAATAAATAAAATAGGAAATTGACCGAAGTTATATCAGGTTGATGCATAATTCCTGCACCAAAATAGATACAGACCGCAATTATCCGGAACAAAGCTATACCTCAAGTAGGATTCGATATATCATTAAATAGCGCAAACCTAGCTCTACAAGACAGTGCTCAAATCTCTGCACCAACTTTGTTTCACGCGAAGGTTTGAGCCGAAAACTGAAAAAAAGCCATGCGTTAGAAAACCTTAGAACCAATCAAAACAAAATTGTAACTTCGTTCAAAAAGCTCCTACAAAATTACGTCCTTGCTCACGCGTGGACATCCCACGTAAGACATTTATCTATGCGGTTGCTGTATTTTTTTCTTAGGTAGACTATGAGAAAACGAAGTTTTTCATGTTTTTCCCAAATTAGTGCTTAGATGTTCTGGCACTAACAGTTGAATAGTACATGCCGTTAGCAGTGAAACTTTACATTTTCAGCGTTCTAGAACTGCTAGTTCACGAGAAATGACGAATCTAGCTTTCCTTATCCGAATTGTTCTTGACTAGTCGCTAAAAATTCGATATTTCTCGTGAACCAGCTGCTGTAAAGAGCTGAGTATTCACAGTCACGCTTCTAAGGTCCTGTAGTATACAATTATCAGTGCTAGAACATCTCAGCAAAAAAACATGAAAAATTTCGTTTTTTCAAAATTTTTGGAAAAAACATGAAAAATTTCGTTTTTTCAATTTCTAGCTGAGAGAAAAATACAGCAACTGCATAGAGAAAGTCTTATACAAAATGACAATGCATGAGCATATTGGGAATTTAGAAGGATTTTTCTGAACGAACTTTCAATTTTTCCTTGGTTATTTAAGTCGCTTGGATCTTTTTCGTTTTTGGCTTCAATCTTCGCTTGGATCAAAGCTGCTGCAAATCTTTGAGCACTATCTTGTAGAGCTAGGTTTGCTCTGTTTTGAGATATCGAATCCTATTTGGAATAAAGGATTATTGCGCATTATTGAGGTCAGTAATTATTTTGGTGCAGGAATTATGCATCAACCTAATAGTTAGTCAGAGAGAAGTGCAAACCGGATATTTTTTGGCTACCTATAAAAATTCTCAGATTCCTTCCCTGCCATACCCAAATCACCTTTACAAAATACCCAAACAAATCGGTGTAATTTTGGTTGATGAGCATCTGAGACAACGTTATTATTGGACCCCTGCTTCCAGTGAGTATATACTTCGCCCAGGTTTTAACGTTCAGATAATTGTAAGTGAGACACACACGGATTTTTTTTGGAGGGACACAAGTATAAAAAGCCCTATTACTTCTGTAGGACCGCCTTGTTCTGAGCTTTCAGAAAATGTGCATTTCGAAGGACTGCTGTCTATGAAACTTAACAGGAGCGATGTCGCTTTGCCTCTTTCCTTCCTCCGTTAGCCAACCTATACCTACTTTCATATCGGCCATAGCAGCGAATTTCCGTTCATACAAAAAGTTATAAATGTGGAGGAAGAAAAATATTCTTCAATGATTTTGAGCCTTCTTTATAGAATTTTTGATTCAACCGCCATTTGAACACCTCTTTTGGTTAACATTTAGGACGCAGAGCCAGTAGATTTTGAATACTTAAACGATTGCAATACGGATCGAATACAAACTTGAGTAAGCAACAGACATGCTTCGTTGCGCATGTGTGTATCAACGTGCTAAGAAGTTCAAATCAAAAGAGTTCCTTCTTTCAAGGAAAGCATTTCGTCAACTCGAAGTTTATTGTAAGATGAAAGCAGCAACCGTGATTAACAGTAAAAAAAGTTCTGTGATTTGATTTGATGCGGAAATCTCGTACCCTTTGCTTTAACCAGATTGTATAAGGCAGAGCTTCATGAACTAGGAGGCGACTGCTAGCGTCCGCGACGCATTCTGCGCCTCCCTCGGGAACATGCCCTCTGCTCACTTTTTAGCCTCAGTTGGGTCACGGAGCCCCGCGTTCCAGCAGCGGATCTGGTTGAAGCAAAAGGTATACACTCCCGATAATACAACATATTAACAGAAACTGCTGTTGTTTGTAAATCCAACAAAGTTACGGTAAGCACGTTGTTGTAAGCAGTCAATTTCAGGAATGGTCTTGATATAAACGACGATTATGCTCACAAAATCACGGGAAAGTTGTGCTCAAGACTCGAAGCTCATGACTTTAGCCAAGCAGATGAGACGGCCAAGGTATTCTGTTTGCTTTCCATTGAAACTAAGTAGAATAGGAAAAAGCTGTGTGATTCTCTAGCTTTGTGAGATACTTATTACTTCAGGTCATCAACAACTTCGTCGATAGCAGCACGGCAGGAAAGATCAAAGAAATCATCAGCGCTGATACTGTAAAAGGTGAAGTAATATATTGGCCCGTAGTAAACTACCGTCAGGGCATCTCCCCTGAGGCGGACCGGAGTTGATATCTTGGCGCCTCAGTCCAGCATCTGGCGAGCTATTGATCTGGTGCAGATCGCTTTCTGGACATTGTAATCAAATGCGTTCTCGAAAAAACAGCTACTTGGTTCGATTTGGTTAAATGGGTAAGCCATTTTAATTACATGCGCGCGGCCGTGGTTCGACTCCGCCTAGCGACACAACTTTTGCTGCATCGCCGGGCAATCTTCGATAGCGGCCACTATCCAATCGATGATGACCGCTATCAAGGATTTCGCCTAGCAAACGCAAAGATAAAACAAAAAAACATTTTGTTACGAAAATTTTGCGACAAAGCGAAATGGTTGCAACGTGAATTCAATGAAATGAACAAATGAGTCCTCGTTTTGAACAGCTTCGAAAAAACCAGTAAAGTTTACAAAAAAGAGAAGAATTTGTTTTTTTCTGTCTTCCTCGCCAAAATCAGCTGTTCATCGATCCTCTCCTTTTCGGGCGCGGTTGTGCAATTTTGCGCCGATTTTGTCCGCAGTGTTAGGCAAATTGCTGTGTATCGTTAGTTACTCAGGAGCAACTTACGAAGATTTTCTCTGCGTTTCCTCTTTAGCACGCTATTTCTGGACATCATCGCTCATATCATCTCCCATGACCCGGCAGGGAGATCATCTCCCTGCCGAACTTCACCTGAGGCTCACCTCTCAGGTGACGTTGCATCCCTATAGCATAGGGAAATGGGCGGTCGTCATTTTACTGACAGAACCTCACATGAAGGTCTCAGGGGAGATAAACTCCCATGACCGAGCTTTACTACGGGCCATTAACATTGATACCTCTCCTGTATTTACACATAGATGCAATCTCCGTAATTGTCAATGCCATCTACTTCAAAGCAGATTGGGATGTGAAGTTCAAAAGTAGCAACAGTAGTAAAGGCGAGTTCTATAGCGCACCGGACAAGGAGAAAGAGGTTGGAATTGTGAGTAGGGAACTACTCGAATTTGGCACTACTTTCAGGTGGAATACATGAGATGTTCGAACACGCATAGACTTTATGCAGAAGACGATGATACACAAGTGCTGTCGTTGCTTTATGAAGACAATACATACGCTTTCAACATATTCTTGCCGAAAAACAGGTATAAGCATATCGAATAGTTGCGAACTGGTTAGCGTATGAAAAATCTTCTTTTTACTAGTGCCCATAAGACCTATCCGTTGCGAAATGAAAGAACTTTGAGTTGCAAGATGTTACAATGCAATATCACAAAGCATATGTGTAAGCCTAGTACATAGTGCTCGCGATTCTATCGGATTACGAATTTTTAAGCGAGCAGTAACCATCATCGCATGACAATCTTTCTGCATTTCGGTTGTGGTAATTTTCTGACGCGACGGATCGCTGACCGATTTTTGTTAGTGCCTAATTCCCTGTTGCTAATCGCCGCGATTTCTGAAAACATAGCTATATCGCGTTGCTTGTGTTGCACAGGCAAGGTAAAGGTCAGAACTAGAGTGCATATATAAAGTGGCTTTATAGAGTTTTTCTTGTAGGCGAATCTGTTCGAAGCTTTGCTGTATGGTACGCATGTCAGCTTACCATAATTACTCAGAACGGCCGTTGAGTTAGAATGAAGAAGAATAGAGAAATCTGAAAAGCTCTTACTGAGAGCTGGACAAAATTATAAAGCCTCCTGGGTTTTCTGAACACATGTATTTCTTGATTCTCATATTTTCTGAACATTTATATTAGGTCGTTTCAAAAGTAATTTCGCTTTTTTCAAACGGGCACCACATTTGACGGAACAAAGCTTTCTAAGAGATCTTGGAGGCATTAGATGCAGAATTTCATTCTCTTTCTCATGGTTATGAAGTTGTTGCAAGACAATCAATGAGCTTTCAGAAAATAACCATCTGCGACCCATGCTTTTTGAGATGGTCAAGTTTCACGATTTTTTAAAACTTTCATATCAATCCTCAGAAGGAACTCGAGTAAAGATTCGATAGAGTAAATCTTAAGGAATACAGTACCATTTTTTCTCTTTCTCATAGCTCGCCGTAATTTTTCAAAAGATTTTTCAACAGAACCATCAGATTCTGGCATGCCCGCCTCAGCCACAACCGCATCAAACATCATACTTTTTCGGAATTTGAGACTACCAAGATGGTACTATGAGTTAGTATTAATTTTACAATGCAAGCGAAGATTTATGGGTTCGAAATATCAAATTTCGAGTTTTTCGGGTACAGTCTGGGGCTCGCTAAAGAAATAAGTTATGATGATTTTTCCCCGGAAACTAAACGAATCGGAAACAAAAAACACCTGTTAGAAAGAGAAGAAAATGCTGCATCGAATAGTGCGCGAACTGCTCTTCTTTTGATGTTCTCCAAGGATTTAGCTGTCCAAGTATGGAAATCGGTAGCATCAGTTTAAATTCTGTTAAAAATGCATGACAATATATGGAAAGGAGAAAAAAGTTGTGCTGTATTCTATGAGGTTTGCTCTATCGAAATATTACTTGAACTCCTTCTGAAGATTCATATGAAAGTTTCAAAAAATTGTGAAACTTGACCATCTCAAAAAGCATGGGTCGCAGATTTTGGTTATTTTCTGAAAGCTCATTGATTGTCTTGCAACATTTTCATAACCATTAAAAAGAGAATAAAATTCTGCATCGAATGCTTCCAAGATCTCTTAGAAGCCTTGGTTCCGCCAAATGTGGTGCCCGTTTGAAAAAAGCGAAATTACTTTTGAAACGACCTAATATATAGATCACTGCATTTTTTGCTTTAAAGTCAATATGCTCCAACAAACAGCTGGTTCAAAAAGTTTTCAAACTCTTATTCATTTCACATGATAGTCATAAAATCCATTGAGCCTTTTCAATGAATGAGGCGAAGAGCGCTTTTATATACTCTGCGTAATAGCCTAGTAATGACGGACAAACTAAAACCCACCACAACGTTGTCGCACTTTTGCACCGCAAATCTAGATTTTCAAGCAACAGAAAATACTGTATTGTAGCCTTTAATTCGGATGTACTATAATATGATCTTTTTGAGTTCATCTCCTGATAAATGAATGACCTCAAATAAAAGATTGTCACCCATCATGGATCATGAGGAATTATGCCACAAGTGGGAACGCAGTTTTTTTCAACAAAAACATACTTTTGTCTAATAGTTTAAAGTGTTTTTTTGTGACTGCGCTCCTTTCTCTGGCGTGGATCTTGATCGAGCGGTTTACGACAAAGTTTTGAGATAGTTGCCATTTCATGTTCTGCTTGTTAGATTACCTACAACCTAAACAAAATTAATCTGAAATTCCGCGTAAGAAATGATTTCATTTCAGGTATGGACTTGGAGATCTTCTTAAAACTTGGACTGGTGAAAAAATACAGCGTTCTTTGTCAACACTAAAAGAAACTTTCATCACGGTAAAAAAAAGCAAAGCCGTAGACTTTCTTCATAGAAAAGCTCATATTTTCAGATTGTCATACCAAAGATGAAGTTTGAAACTGATTTCGAACTCAAAAAGGCGTTGATCAACATGGGCATCAAGGATATGTTTACCAAAGCTGCTGATCTAAGCGGCATCTCAAGTGCACCTCTGATGGTTTCAAGCGCAACACACAAAGCGCTCATTGAGGTAAACTTTATTTTATAGCCAGAATTGGGATCAGAGCTCGGCCCAGGTGGCTAATAATTAAGCTGAATATCGTTTTTAAGACAAAAAGCAAAAGGATATCGTTTCTGTGGGCGAAAATACGCGTTTTCAGCCGACTTTTTGTTTTTTGAGGGCTCTTTATGTTTATAGTTTGGGGTCAAATGGGGCTTCGTAAAATTCTGGGAAAGTTGAAGAGGAATTCGTTTTTTGCATTCTCGGAAAGCCACCTCGTGCCGAGCCCTGATTGGGGTAAACTGTCCTCATAATGGCGTGCCAGCTTATCCTGTTTGACCAGTTTATGCGCTCACCGCGTTCGCGATTGGTCAGTTTAGTGTTTGACCAATAGCGAATGGGTGAACCGCTTGAACGGATAAGTACAGCGCCTATTTGTATGGTCCATTTTATTATTTAACTACAAGCTTTAAGTATGAGTGTGTAGTGCTTAGTCTCTAAGTTTTACATAATTTTTATGTGGATGAGGAAGGCACCACTGCTGCAGCTGTCACGGTCATGACGCAGATGCTTCGAGCCGTTCCAAGAAGGGAGGAACCTATAAGATTTATTGCTGATCATCCATTTTTATTCGTTCTCACGAAAAACAAAAATCCTTTGTTTATAGGTTTATTTGTATGAATGGGCGCACTGTTTTGATGTGTGTAGCGAAACGAACCTACAATTAGCATCTTGTCAAGTTTGGTGTTCTCACATTTTACCGTCTATCTAAAGAATCACATGGTTAAGAGTTAAGTCAAGAGCTTGTAAGATGTCTTGGACGGATAACGCATTTCAACGATAAAAATGAGTTCTTGCGTTGAAGCTGTACGGGATGCGTCAAATTCAAAGAGTCTGGTATTTTTTCTGATAAAAACAAAAAAAACTACACAAAACACGACGTTTGCACAGTTCATTCAAATAGGGTTAAAATACAGCACATCATTTGAATCGCATTAAACCCTTTTCGTCAACGCAAGCCATAAGTTTTGACAGTGTGATAGAGCAAATTTCCAGCGACGCACACTAGCCAGCCCTGAACTTTCTCTTCTGCAAAATTTAAGGACAAGACTTTTTGCAATTTGACAGTAAGCATATGTACGCCGCGCTATAGAAACTTGCTTAAAGGAGGAATGGAGTAACTTCAAGAAGTTTTGAGTTTTTTTCAGCCAAACTATGTTCATCTAGAAGACTTATGTACAGAGTATTACTTTCAAAGGGCAACGGCCACTAAAAGCAGGGCATTAACAATTTTCAGCGCTAATAGCATAGTCTCTGGAAAGCGCACTATAGGTGCAAATTTCGTTCACAATGTGGACACAAACCTGTTCAAAAATGTTCCAAGTATCCCAGCTGACTATTCATAAATTGCAAAAATTTTGATTCTGCACACTGAAAAAATAGCAGTGAAGATAATTATATATCAAGACTGATAATAATAACTGATAATTATATATCAGATATTATCAAGACTGGTTGAGTGCAAATTTGTTGAGATCGTGAATGCATATCAAAGGGTGCTCGCCCTGCTAGTGTGAGTGAGGATAGCCTAGCCAGCGTCCTCGCTCAAGTGAACTACTCATACATTACGGCTGAGTACGATTGTACTTCAGCATGTTTGGAATACAATAGATTTTTGATTACCCGATTGAACATGTTATAAATATATCGCTGAGGTAAAAAATTCCTAGAGCTTGGTAACAAAACAACTCCTTGGATGTGAATCTGTATGGCTTCTTATCGCGAACCGGTGTCGAGGCTTTTCGCCTCGACTTGGCCTGGGATGTGTATCCTGCATCCTTTCAGGCGGAACGTGGGAGGCTTTGATACTTCGGCAAATCTTGCACTATATATTAGTTCGTTCTGAGAGTAATATTGCTTTGTTCAAATGGGCTTAACGTCCCGCAGAACAAGGGTAATGAATTTCGGGTACATTCAACGTCACTTTTCATCCTCTTATATAATGGAGGTTCCTCATGCCAGTTTCAACAACTAGCTTTCAAAAAATGTCCGAAACTGCGATCCATACTTTTGATATGCTGGAGTTTCTCTAATATTTTGAATTTTTATATCGACTCCTCGAAGAATTAATAACTAAAGAATACCTACAGGAAATAAAACAATTTTCTCACTTAATTTGTTTTTTGTTTTCATAGTTAAAAATTTCAAAATTATTTTCTGATGCCATCAGCTTCCTTATTTGGTCAACTCAAACCTCACAGAGTTCAGCCTGCAAGAGACTCGGGCTTAGGTTTCATGTGATGCTGCTTTTTTTCTATTTCTCACAGGTATATGGATAATTCGTGTTTTTGGTGTGCCCAAGACTGTTCGAAAAATTAGGGATATTTTCAATCTGTAAAAGATCTTTGACTTGTGAAATTAGTGTAAATCGTAGTCCATTTTGTGGAAGTATAATCAATTAGTAAAAATCTCAAACTTTGACAATTGATCTGCTTTTGTTACATTCGTCTTTGAAGGCCTGCTAAAACTTGACGGTCTCTGTGTAGAAACTTTCGTATTAATTAACGTTTGGAAAAGAAAAAAACTGTTCTGTAACCTATGTTTGCTCGATCCATGTGATACTTTTTTACTTGTACTTCCTCGAGAGATCGGTACACAAGTTTACGGGATTAGCGAAACATGACCATGACAATAACCATGTGTCGCAGTCTTGACATTTTTTTGAGATTTCAGAAAGATGATCAAACTATCCGATAAAGCCATCATTGAAGGAGAATGGAAATCTGCATCGGTGCCCAAATTTTTTCAGGACCCATGTTAAGCGGGATGTTGATCCCATTCAAAAATAGCAAAACTACTTCCGAAGCGACCTATCATAATTGCAGTTCTAAATATAAAATGGCTCGTTCAAATCACCTTCGAAAAATTATCTCCTAAAACGAGACTCCAAAATTTCTCTGTTACAATTTGTGGAAGTTTGTGCTTCCTGAAGTTCAGCAAGCCGAACGCGTAGTACGTGGTATCGTAAGCTTTGGAAGTGCTACCGCACATTGGAATGAGCCTTATAACGTTGTACGTTATACGTTGTGTCTAATCCCTTATTACCTTTTGATTCCAGAAGATTCTGATCTATCTTATCAATGTAGAACAGGCGCTTGTTTGGATGCGCTAGATTAGCGAAAACAGTTTTTCCCTTTGACGCAAAATTGCGCTTCGCTCAATGTACACACTGAGAGCAGCGTTTCGGCACTCTGCGTTGTTTTCGAGATTAATCTAATATACTGTATACTTTATAACATTCGAGAATTGTTTCGAATAATCAAATATCTTATATTTTCGAAGTAAGAATTATTGAATAATCGAATATCGAATATATTTGAATTGAAAAAAATCCAAATACTCGACTATATTTGGAAAAAAATCCGAATAAACCAATATTTTGCATCGATTATGTCGAATATTCAAACGAATTTTAATCAAATTAGCACGATGAAGGACTCCGTGCAGTGGGCAACTTGGACAATAACCGATGGTTGCTGGTATAGCAGTCAAAATTGTGACGTCATGTAGTTATTCGATAATACGAAATTGTCGAATAATCGAATAACTTCTAAAAATAAATATTCGAATGTTCGAATATTCTCGAAAATCAATTTGCGAATAACCGAATAATCGAATAAATTCGAAATTGACAAATTTCGAATAAGCGAGTATCGATTATTAGTATTCGAGCTTTGAAATTTTCGAATAATCGAATTTCGAGTAAAGTTTATTCAAATACTTTATTCGAATACTCGAATATTCGATTCGGAATTTTCGAATAATCAATTTCGAGTAAAATTTATTCGAATCTTTATTCGAATACTCGAATATTTATTCGATTCGGTCCAAATATACAGCAAATTGTAGAGACCTTGCTTCCCTTTTTCGTCCCTGTAATCAAAAAAGGATGTCAATTTTTTGGGCTGTTTCGGCAGCTCCTCTAAAGAGATCGATCCTACTTCCGCCATTCTTTATAAGATAACGTTAAGATGTCATTAGAGCTAGATCTTTTAGACTAGAAGGGAATGGTCAGAAGTCAACGTGGCCAATCCGAGCAAACTGCTTACCATTCGATATAGCATTCAGCGCTGATTTTGAATCTGTAATGAATATCCGCTCAGCGCCTTTGTGGACGATGTTATGAGCAGATTTATTGCGAAAAAATCATACATAAAAATTGCAAAATTGAGCACATTGTTGCACTTTCAGCTCGATTTCAGGCTTTAAAGGCAGTGGATCGGCAAAACTTAACAGCGCAGGATTTTGACGCAGTATGTTCCTCATCGCACAAGTATGAAAACAGTGCAATCCCTGTTGTACAGCATGCCTTCCTTGCCGAGAAAACTGCTCTCAACTTAACTGCTCTCATACTTACACGCGCAAGCCAATCTTACACGCGCCCGGTCGACTTGGCAATTTCCTTCCCACCATTGGAGGTTGCCCGCCGCAACGCTATAGCCATTGGGTCCTGCAACGATTCAGCGCCAGCAGCCTTGCTCCCTCGCCCAACTTCAAAAGGAAGGGCATCGAAAAATGCAGGTTTTCGCTGTTTCCAAACTCTCTGAAGAGTCGGGATCAGCGTATTGAATAACCACAGGTAAGCAAAAACTTAACTGGTTGAGATTTGCCGACCCACTCACTGCCTTTAAGAATATAAAGTAACCTAGCTGCATGTTTTGGCCCAGCACTAAGACAAACATGGCTCTGTACTGCCAAATTTACACTTTGCATTCACGATTTCTTAGCAAAAATAACTTCCTTTAAAGGCTCACAACTTCCCTTCCTTCCCCCCCCCCCGCGCGATAAGCAAATATAGAACACAAAGTCGAAGTCAGCATGCTGCATCTGATGGTATGCAGCTTGTTTGGATTGACCACTCAAATTCTGACCATTTTCAAGAACACTTTGCTTGGTCCTGGCTTGTGAACCTACCTTATAAACTTCTGCAGTCCAGGTGGGAGTATAGTATTCAATTAGGATCT